TGTCTTTTTTTACAAAAGTCGACAGAAAAGTTTAAATAATTGACCTATACATTTTTTACTTGCTGGAGTCCTTCTTACATACATAATTAATAAGATCACAAGATAAAAGCTTATTAAAGTTTTATACTTTGTTTTTAATATCTTTTTAAGTGTGCCGGTCAAACATTAATGATGATATTCGAGTCATTATACTGGTACTATAATCTTCAGTATGATGGACCGTGTGTATGACTTTTATATGTCTATGTCATTTTTGATGAAAATTATTATTGGAGATAAAAGCCTTTTCACATTTATTTTACTTACTTATCTTCATGCACAATCCCTAACGGGGTAGCCAGAGAGAACAGATCGCCAAGTGTCACGATCCTTACAAACCTCTTTCGCTTCATTCAGATTCATTATCTTCTTCATGCATGCACGTCTAGGTATCCGAGTACTCTTGACCCTACCCTCTTCGAGCAATTTGCTTACATGGTCTTCGAAAGTTAGTCTCGGTCTATCTCGACACCTTTTAATATTAACTTTCGCGCTATATAATTTCTTCACCATTCGGTCTTCACTCATTCGCTAAACGTGTCCAAACCACCGAAGCACGCCCTTATCAATTTTTGTGATAAGATCATCTTTCAAACCTGCCATATTGCGAATCTCTTCGTTTCGCTTTCGGTCGGCCATAGTAACGCCGCACATTTTACGAAGAGATCGCATCTCCACTGCATTCAACTTACTTTTATGCTTCTTCTGGCATATCCAGGTTTCGCTGCCATATAACAAAGTCGGTACCAACACTGCGTTATGTATTGCAAGGCGTGCACTCTTCGCTACGCCTTGCCTTTTGACTAACGCAGTCAGGGCACCATTGACATTGTTCCCGGCAGCGACACGCCTGTCCACATCTAAATCACATCTTCCATCCCGGCTAAAAGCACTCCCCAAGTATACAATTTCATTTACCTGTTCTAGACATTCCTGATTTACCCATATTTCACACTTCGTTCTCTCTTCGTCCCTTTCAAATACCAGAACCTTAGTTTTATTAGTATTCAAACGGAGACCTTTAATTTCACATTCCTCTTTCATACACGTGACTAATGCCTGCAGTTCTGCCTCTGATGGTGCAATAAGCACTGCATCATCAGCATACAGCAGACAATTAACTTTAATGTCACCCAATTTCACAGCCAAACAGCTATCTTTCAGCTTCTGTAAACAGCTGTGGAGATACAGTATGAACAGCCAGGAAGACATGACATAACCCTGCTTTACGCCCGTTTGGACGTTAAACATGGGTGACAGGTCATGCCCTACCCGCACACAGGCTTTACAGTCACAGTAAAGAGACTGCACAGCCCTTAACAATCAACCATCCACGCCTAACCCCGGCAACAGTTCCCACATTTTCTTCCTTACAACCTTATCAAATGCTTTCTCAAGATCCACAAAAGCACAGAAAATTTACTTTAGTCTCGAATTAAATTAATCAAAATGAAAATTTGAACTTTGGTTCTATATACCTGATCTTCAAATGTAAAACGCTGACTTGAAATATATAATTATCGGCATTTTTTTAATTCATTGAACTTTTCTAAGATTATGTTGAAACTCTACTGGTAAAAAAAGACAAATATATATATATATATATTTTAGTTCTTGACAAAAATAACGTATCCGCGTTACATCGCATTCCACCAAGAATATCTAATGTAAGCTAAGACGTTATAATAACTGTAAACAATAGAATAACAAAATATTGAAAACATTTGTAAATATTTGCTTCACAACCTAATAAATATTATTTGACCATAATAAAATAAAACAAGATAGTCTTCGGCATGAAAGTAAAAATAAATATTTTCGATTATTTTTGCAATATCTAACAGCCGGATCAGCGCGCGATTCAGATTCATCTAAAGATTTTAGTCAATTATACGCGGGGATTACAGGGTGACGGAGCATGCACGCTCGCGCAAATATATTCAATTCCAGGGAAAAATAATATTTTCTCTTATAAAACGGGAATAAAAATAAAACTCTCAATTAAAAACATTAATATTTTAAGACCTTTTTTAGTGTAAGAACTATTTAAAAAGCTTGTGCCATTTTGGAGAAATTTTGCAAAATATGACAAAGATAGGTAGTCGTTGGGGATTTTTTTTCTAATAAGGGGTTGACAAAAATACAATTTTTTTCAATTAAAGACATTTAATAAATCCTCTTTTTTTACTGTATATTTTTTCATTGTGAATTAAACTAACAGTTATTGTGAATTTTTTTTTTACTTAAATATCCAAGAATTTAGGTATTTCAACCGCAGTTAAGGCCTTAATTTGAATGCTTACTGATACACCAGACAAAGTAGGATTTATTTCTCTTTTATTTTAATTTATAATGTATTTGTTAATCGACTAGAGTAAAATCATCTCGTGATTCATTTATAATATCATTGTTAATTGAAAAATAACACAAAATATATTTTTAATGAAGTTAGATCAGGTCAAATAAATAAAAAAAGAGAAAATCACACGTACTTGAACCATGCTGTACCTTTATTATGGTTGAAGTACGCATGGGTCAGCTCTACTGTAAAAGGATCACGCTTGCACAGAGTAATATCATAACCTGTAAAATTTCACTGATTAAGAGTACTAATAACTACATGCCTTGATCTCTTCTTTTCCTCTATGCATGTGCACAAACAATTATTACATCGGTCTTTACTTCAATTATTTACTGTCAACATACCAAGTATTCAAAATCATACAAAAGCTTGTCGTTCGTGATGCGTATAGCAAACGAGTGAAATAATTTTCTTGCGTCTGCCGTTCCGTGTAATAACATCCTCAAATTCAGCAGCAAAGAGTAAATTGGCTTTTGTTTGGTCCTTTCTTGAAGACGACGGTCTTCTACTCGAACCTGCGCTGTTAGATTGCTAAAGATCTTAAAAATTAATTTGCTAAAATCCGCGTAGTAAAATAAAGCGATGTGTCTTAACTACTTTGACAAGCATCTGGCACCCTTTTCCAATTGCTTGCATTATTCTTGTCAATACTATTACCAGTACACCACTGGTAGTACACCGCGACACTAGGAAAGACACGCCACCGTCGATAGTACGACACGTGTTGCGCCTCTACACGAGGTATTCTCAGGTAAAATAGACTTTGCGGTGACTGACCGCTAAGATCAGCGGTCAGTCACCGCAAAGCTCCTTTAAAGGATTTCCTCAATGTAACGCCTGATTCTATTAATTAACTGTTCAAACAGTCCCTAGCAACGAAACCTAAAATCACGCGTTTTTTTCTTCTATAATGTCAGAAACAAGGACATGATAAATAAACGACGGAAAAGCAAATTAATTAGTGATTTATTAAAAGCAATATTACGAATTTAATTCTTGCAAATATTAGAAATAGACAATTTTATAAGTAAGAACCTATTACAGAATAAGCAGTTGACTCCAGGAAAAATAACCCGAAATAAGCTAATTTATCAAAATAAAGTCTTCATCATGGAATACATTTCAACATCTACGTATTTCAATATTTTAGAGATTTCATTTTAATAAAATGAAATCTCGAGAAGCAATGAACGTCAAGCGTTATAACTAAAGTAATTCAATTATGTAAGTGCATGCAGCTTGTAAATGCAACCGCATTTACACACGTGTTCTGTCACGTGTGCAAATACTAACGGATTTCTTACCAATGCATAACTCTTGCATACCGTTACCAATACAAATATAAATGTAAAATATTTAATTGTGGTTCATAGGATTACAGTGGTGGTATAAGTCAGTAACGGTTTAACTATTTTTCATAAACATTTTTACATTTTCTAATAATCTTTAAATATATATATAATGGCGCATGCGACGGTTAGTGATAGTGTATCTTCTAAACGACTTTCGAGATTTAAATCTAAGAGATTTAATTATACATTTATACACAATTTCGTCGGGACAATAGTTCACAGCTTTGCTAGGATACGATAGATGGCGCTGTGGTTGAGTTTTAAAAAACTATATTTACGACTTATATTCATGAAATATTATAGTATGATACCGTTGTAATGTTCTCAAATTGAGATATTACTCATTCAAATTTTGACGTAAGTCAGAGTGACATATAGATGTCCTCTAACCCTTGATTCATTTTATTTCACGACCGACAACGCCCACTCTCCGCAAAAACGCACACGTACATGTACATGTGCCGCGCAATATCACGCTCTTTTTAACAATGCATCGCCGTATTTGTTTAAATTATTATAAACTTAAAATCACGGCCGTGAACTGTGTAAAATTTGTGTAACTTGTGCAAGACAATTGGAAATGCACCACTACAGTGTACCTGAAGTACGAGAAGAAGCTGCCGGCGTTCACCAGGTGCATACCCTCCATCTATCACATTAGGTCAAATGCAAATTCAAAACTTAATCTAATCCCATCTAACATCATACAGTCCATTTTCTTTCAAATAATATAAGTTTCCACTCCATTTTGCTTTGTCTTTCTAAATAGGTAGAGCGTAGGAGTGGAATGATCTGCCGGCGCCTGTCTTTCCGTCCGATTACAATCTGGGCAATCTCAAAGCAAGAAAGAAAGGCAATTGTAACTTTAAGACAGTACCTAGAATAGTGAAGCACTGGTTTATAATAACTGAAAGAAAACACTCGACAAATCATCATTCATCATTCTCTAAACCATTTCCCATTATCTGGGGTCGGCGCAGTAAATCTTTTTGTTCCATTCCTCTCTATCAGCCGTCATTTCCATACTTACTCCTTTCATTCTCATATCACTCTTCACACAATCGATCCATCTTTTATTCGGCCTTCCTCTGCCCGTGTGTCCCTCCACATTCATATTCAACACTCGTTTTGTGACATGACTTTCATTCCTCCGCATCACATGCCCAAACCATGCCAATCTGCTTCCTCTCACCTTTTCTACCACTGGCGCTACTTTCAGGCTTCCTCTTATATACTCATTCCTTATCTTATCCATCCTTGTCACACCACCATCGTAACATTCTCATTTCATTCGCATGCAGTCTATTTTCATCCTTCTTCTTGACGGCCCAGCATTTACTTCCATACATGACGACAGGTCGGATGATCGATTTGTAAATTTTCCCCTTCAGCCTTATTGGCATTCGGGGATCGCACGTTGTGGCTGTGACCTGTCGCCATTTCATCCACCCTGCGTTAATCCTATGCTGCACAGCTCTATCTATTCCGCCGTCGCCTTGAATGAGGGAACCGAGGTACTTGACATCTGAGCAGATAGGCAGTATAGCGCCATCCAACGACATGGGTACAGGACTGGAAAGACCGCCGAAATCACAGCACAGATATTCGGTTTTGGATCTGCTGATCTTCAGGCCAACACTTTCCAGCCTCCGTTGCCACCCCGTCAGTCTGCTCTGTACCTCGATGCCTTCTTCCCCGACAAGCACGATGTCATCGGCAAAGAGCATGCACCAGGGTGCCTCATCCTGCAGGTCCGACGTCAAAGCGTCCATAATCAGTAGGAAGAGGTAAGGGCTCAGTGCCGACCCTTGGTGCAGCCCTACCGCCACACCGATACTGCCCGTAGTTCCCGCGGCAGATCGTACACATGTACGGGATGCTCTGTACATAGCACGGACCAACCTCACATACTTCCCAGGCATACCTTTCATCTTTAACGCCCACCACAAGACCTCACGGGGAACCCGATCGTACGCCTTTTCAAGGTCGACAAAAACCATGTGCAGGTCTTTATGCACGCGCTTGTACTTTTCGCATAATTGCCGTAATGCGAAAATGGCATCTGTCGTACCTCGACCGGGCATGAATCCGAACTGGTTTTGTGTTATCTCACACTCTTCTCTCATTCTTCTCTCTATTATTCTTTCCCAGACTTTCATCGTATGTGACATGAGCTTTATTCCCCGGTAACTGCTGCAGTTTTGAACGTCTCCTTTGTTTTTAAAAATGGGAACCAGTATACTACTGCACCATTCCTCAGGTATTTGTTCTTCCTGCAACAATTTACCGAAAAATAAACTCAATCACTTCCATCCATCCGCCCTCAGCAACTTCCACACTTCTACTGGTATTCCATCTGGGCCGACCGCCTTCCCATTCTTCATATTCCTAACAGCCATTTTTACTTCTTCCACCCTAATTTCTCTCACTAAGCCCATATTCACTGGTGGGTTTTCAAGCATACCATTCCATTCATTCTCCTCATTCATCGATTTCTCAAAATACTCCTTCCATCGCTTCTTTATACTTTCATCGTCAGTCAAAATCCTTCCAGAGTCATCTTTTATACATTTTACATGTGAAACATCTCTTCCATTCTTTTCTCTCGCTCTTGCAATTTGAAAAAGTCGTTTTTGACCTTCGGGGCTTTCAAGGGACCGATATAATTTATCGTGTGCCTCTGCCCTACAAATAGCAACTTCCTTCTTCGCTCTCTTCTTACATTCTTTATACGCCCCTCTCTTACTTTCTTTTATGGATTCATTCTGGTCTTCTACGCTCTGCCATTCTTTAAAGGCATTTTTCTTTTCTCTCAAAACTTCTCTAATACTTTCACTCCACCACCACCCATCCTTATCTATCATACGCTTCTCTTTTGTTTCTCCTAACACCTTCCTTGCCACACTTCGGATACAATCAGCCATTTCCTTCCAGCACTCATTCACACTCATTCCTTCCATATCACCCATCTCTATCATCTTGTTTACAACTAGCTCTCTAAATTCACTTGCATACCCCTCCTTATGCAACAAATGCCACTTTATTTTGGGTGGGGGACGATCCTTATATTTGTTGAGGCGAACAGTTAAGCAGATGTCAGCCAGCAGAATTCGGTGCTGGGATACTAAGTCTTCACCTGGAAGCACTTTGCAGTTTTTTACACTCTTGATTTGGTTCCGTCTTATCAGAAGATAGTCGATCTGTGTCGCGTGGTGGCCACTTTTATAAGTAACAAGATGCTGATCTCGTTTTTGGAACCACGTGTTTACTACAGCCAGGTCGAAAGCACATGCTGCTTGCAGAAGAACTTCCCCCTCACGGTTCCGCACTCCGTACCCCCATCCACCGTGTACTCTTTCATACCCGTCATTCACTCTCCCTACATGTCCATTAAAATCTCCTCCCATATAAACATCCTCACGCTCAGGTATTCCCATCATCATACAATCAAATTCCTCCCAAAACTTCTCTTTCACACTCTCTTCACAGCCTGTTTGCGGAGCATACACACTTACAACATTCACTACTTAGTTTTCAATCATTAATTTAACAACTATCATTCTGTCATTTACTCTTTTCACATCTGTCACTCGTTCTTTCATTCCACTATCTAACACAACTCCTACTCCATTTCGCTTTCCATCACTTCCACAATAATAAAACTTGTATCCCTCCCCAATCTCTCTTGCTTTATTGCCCTTCCATTTTGTTTCCTGCAAACAGGCAACATTCACTCTTCGTCGTTTCAAAACATCTGCTAACTCTCTTCCTCTTCCAGTCATCGTACCTATATTCCAGCTTGCAAACCTCACTCTGACATTCTTCTCTCTCCGGGCTCGCCTCTTACGTTGCACCCGCTCCGTAAGGTGCGACAACCCTTGCCCACTTCCCACAGGAGCCGGGTGCTGCCCCTGCGCGTCGCCTGCGGGGTACGCCCTAGCCCTGTCATATGTCCCACAACTCGTACTATTCATTTACTGCATGGGATTTGGCAAAAGTTTTACAGTCGGCCGCCTGCCTGACACCAACCCTCTTTGGGTATGCTATTGCTGGTAGAGGAAGCTACCATTTTGGGAAAAGGAAAAAGAAGTTTGGGGGTAGGAGCATAGGTGTAAGGATACTGTTATCTCGGCAGGAAAGGTATGAGAATCACAGTAGCTCGGGGAGCCGGGGTCGCGTACCCGTATTCCATACCAGGATCACCGGAAAGGTAGACCAGCATGAGAACCCCCTGACTGAAATTAACTGGAACTCATAAACAATTCATTAATATTAACTCAAGACATATTTATTTTGCTTCCCATTTTGTTAAAGTGAAATAAATAAATAGATTTTTAAACAAATTAGAATAACTGTTTTTTAAATTAAAAATATTTTTTTTGACTAACAAATTTTGAGAGTATTAATGTTAAAATATTGATGTCTAATATGATGATGTTCATTTTTTTTAAAAACTTCATCTTTTAGATTTATATGTGTAAATATCTTATAAATTCAATATGTATAATGTCTATATAAAAACCTATTTGATTTGAGCTTTTGCTGGTGCTACTTTCTTGATATGCCACAGGAGGACACCACGACACCCAAAACCTACACCATTTTACAAATTACCATTATAGTATATTTAGTAATAAAAAGAAGTATTCAATGTTTTTTGTTTATTTTAGCTTATAGCCTACTATGAATAAAAAAATAAGATTGGATTCATCTAAAAATCCATAGGTAGTGCTCACAAAATTTGTTACCTGTAGTTAAATTAACACCACCCAATCGTCTTGTGCTAACTGCGATTGGTAATTCGACCGTCACGCATTTCCAACAATGAACTTTTAGCGGCTAATGAAGGCGAAAAACTGAGATTCAATATTTATAAATAAAGTATTTTTTTTTATTTAAGTGTATAGTGTGTTCGCTTAGATATGGCCTTTGTGTCGCACCGCCTTGGCACGTGCCACATCTTGTCAAAGGCGCCGCCACGATATCAAAGGTCGCCGGCGTACACCGCACAGGAGAATTAATTTGGCATTTTAGAACGAAACTCTGCGTCACGCCGTAATAAAAGGTTATTTGCTACCTAGCTAGTGTTTATCTATACTAATATAATAAAGCGGAAGAGTTTTTTTTTGTTTTTTTGTTTGTTTAAACGCACTAATCTCTGGAAGTACCAGTCTGGAAGTAATATATAAAATTAATTTTTTTTACCAAGAAAAATTATTTTTATATATTATAGCCAGATTCATGTGGAATAGTATAGGCTATCTAGCATTAAGCTATATTACTCAGCTAGCCTTAAATATGGATATTTGTTAAGCAAGTCAGAAGAAAAAGCACTCCCGAAATGATTTATCTGCGTACGCTGGTGTTATCGTTAGGGATACGTAAATACAATGTTCTAGAAAAATATAGACCTTTACTTCGTCTAAAAAAAAGTTCGCGATACCATATGTCTATTTCTTATACATAAGCCATAATTTGGTATTTTGTGACAAAAAAGTATTGAAAATTTAAAAGTAATTTATGAGCGTTATTATTAGACATGGCCTATTTATCCTTACGAACGAAAGTTACTTCATCATCAAGACAATTTTATGAAGATAAACTTTGTTCTTTATACCATGTTATTTGGACGCATAGTTTAAGAGATAATGTAAAATTAAAATAATTCAATACTTGGCTGGGCGCGCGAACGACGCTTAAACCCAGCCGTTATAAAATGATTCAACTAGGTCATGTCGCGCACCTCGGACACTTGATGACGTGGGTGAAACCACGGGGCACAGCTAGTTATTTATGTTCGTAGTTTATTGCAATAGCTATAAGAATAAAATAGTATTCTGTTTGATCCTTATAATAGAAAAACCTTTATTTAACAAACACAATAAATAATAAAATAAAAGCAAAATAACTAGTTCGTCTCCGGCAACAAGTGTGTACCGACACAATTTTAGTGAACAGACTATATAGCAAATAGTTCGTGGTACTGTATATAATGACGTAGATTGTGGTCTCCAATGCATTCCAGCGACTCAAAACACAATAAAAATAATTAATATAAGATAAAAATAGCACATTTTCCATTGATAATAAATGCATGGTTTAAGCACTCGAAAATGGTTTAAGTATTTTTTCGGTCATTTAGATTAAAATGATTTTTATTAAACAATAAATATAATACTAAACATAACTTGTAATAAAATAGTAAAACTAGCGGCCTCTACACGTAGGCTTCGAAGAGCACTCCGTAGAGTGACGTTATGAATTAAGCATATGAGCGCACCCTGAAGCGGCGACTTAACGCACGCTACAATTTATTGCGTAAAAACAAATATTTCTATGTATAGTACTGGATAGGCAATTTAGAACTTTTCTTAGTCACATTGATCAAAATAAGTGTTAAATTTTCGGACACGTTCGCAGTTTACAAAACAAAGAACCAGTCGTCTCGCTCACTCGCAGCCGACTAAAAGAGAATTGACCGTTACTTAGTGCGCTATGTAATTAGTACCCTAGTACCTGTCTAGTAATATAAATAGAAGTCTTTGTGTAAAAAAAGAGGTTTAGTTCAGCGCACGCGTTAAGAGCTTACAATGCCACGTGCACTCAAACTGTTCGACTCATGTTGGTTCATCAGTATTGGGCGCAGTTTAGCGGGGCGCAAGAGGTGTCCCTAATGAATGCCATACACAATCCAGTTTAACGTCAAGTTTGTAGCGCGCTTGAAGCGGCGTCCGGTAAACTTTACTTTGTATGGCTATCAGTGTGTATGATAAGTCTACTTGAAGTAAAAATTGAATTACGATTCTGCCGACTTGGTCAAGCTTGCAGCGTCATGTACACTTGAACGTATGTATGAGCAGTCAAGTATGCATGACGTTAGTCGGAGCAATAAGCGAGAGACGCCATGGTTCCAACAGGTGCGGCATCATGTAAACTTGACGGCGAACTTGAACGTGAGTGGTCTATATGGATGCACTCCAAACTGTAAGGTAAATTGGATCGTGTATGACATCGATAAGTTATTAAAGTTCTGTCTTCATCTGCTTTTACAGACAGTAACAGGCGTTTAGGCGATATGGCACGATACGAATGGGAAAATTTAACACTCGACAAATATAAACATAAAAATAATAGATGAAATAATGATAGCGAAAGTTAT